AGTAGGGCCGGGGGTCGAGGACCGGGTGCTAACTGGTGGGTCGGGACTGAGGAGTGGAGGTGGGATCGGCGTGAGGACCGGGTGGGGTCGCGGCTGAGCACAGGGACCCGGGCTGGGGGCGGAGAAGACGGGACGCCCCACCCCGTCTTTAGGTTTCGTTTTCTGGCAGCCTGGCGGTTTCGCTTTTCCGGCGCCTCTGGCCCGCCCCCTTCACGTGGCCTCTCGCGTCTCTGCAGGATCCAGCCTGAGACCACCGTCCAGGCGTGGATGCTGGTTCAACACCTGTGACTTCACGTGTTACCTACCACCTGCCACATCTGTAGTCACATCCATAGCCACCTTTGCCAAGAAATCCACACCCAGGCAACGTCTGTGGCCACAAGACCCCACTCCCCATCTGTGACCACCCCACACTTGTAACACCTGAGTCACACCTGTGGTGGCACAGGAACAGTCTCACCTGTGGTGACACCTGACAGCCTCCTGTGACCAAAGCCCGTCACCCCGGCCTGTCTCAGTCACTGTCCCTTCCCTGCGGTGGGAGCGATGGCCTTGGCTTCCGAGAGGTGAGCTCCTGGCCCGACCCCGGATGCCCGCCCGCGAGTCTCGTTCACGGCCCTGACTCGCACGGCCCTTCTGCCCGCAGAGGGACCCCACGCGTGCTGTTTGGAGAGTGGCTTCTGAACGAGGTCAGCAGCGGCCGCTACGAGGGGCTGCGGTGGCTGGACGAGGCCCGCACGCGCTTTCGTGTGCCCTGGAAACACTTCGCGCGCAAGGATCTGGGCGAGGCCGACGCGCGCATCTTCAAGGTGGGACCCCAGCGCCCAGGGGGAGCTCGGCCCCGGACCCTGTAGGCTCCCCCCGCCGGGCCCACACTGTCTTTCTTCCCCCGCAGGCGTGGGCCGTGGCCCGCGGCAGGTGGCCGCCCAACAGCTGCACGGGCGCCCAGCCGCCCCCCGAGGCTTTGGAGCGCGCCGGCTGGAAAACCAACTTCCGCTGCGCCCTGCACAGCACGCGGCGCTTCGTGATGCTGCAGGACAACTCGGGGGACCCCGCGGATCCGCACAAGGTGTACGCGGTCAGCCCCGCGCCGGGCTGGGGAGGTGAGAGCGCCCCGCGGGGGTGAGCTACTGGCTTGAGCCAGGGGAGGAAGGGCGATCCAAGCGAAGGACCAGCAAAGGCAGAGGGTGTGGCGACTTCGGCCTGTCTCGGGGGCAAGACCGGGCCAGACCTGTGTTTTTAGAAACCGGACAGCAGGGTCCCTCCTCCCCCTCCCTAAGGCCATCACCCTGGGCCGGGCGTGGTGCCGGCTTGTTGTTGAGGGGGATCACGGAAGGGAAGCTGTTAGGGCTTTTCGGACCAGTGAACCCGAGAGCATGCTCCTCGCTCCCCTCAGAGAAGGCTACTCAGGGGTTCACCCCCAGTTCTCACCGCCCCAGTGTCTCAGATCCCAATGCCCCCTCCCCCAAGGTCAAGGCAGCGACAGAACGGAAGAAGAGGCCCCTACAGATGGCCGGCTCATGAGGGTAAGGTGCCCCCTGTCCACCTCTCTCCTCCTGGGCATTGGGTGCCACCTCCCACCAGGCTGGGGACCACTTATGCTGACCCTGTATTCCCTGCAGGGTGAGCCCCCTGGGCCGTTCCTGGGAGAAGCTGGTGAGAGGCCCGAGCCTGTGCTGGGCTGGGCTGGAGCAACTGGACAGAGATCTGAGCCCTGCACCTCGAGCCCTCAGCCCACCCCGGCTGCTGATGCCAGGGACCTTTTGCACCAGGCTCTGCAGCACACCCACCTAGGAGACCATCTGCTGGAAGAGGCATGGAGGATGGATTCAGCCCCCCAGCAGCCTCCTGGTGAGGGGCAGAAGGGAGAATGGGCTGGAGGGAGGAGGAGCAGGTGAGGCAAGCGGGAGGGCCGAACTGAGCAGGAGGGGCAGGTCTGGGCAGGCTTGTGTTGGAGGAGCAAGGTGGAGGGGCACGGTCTGCCCTCCAGGGGCCCTAAGGGTGAGGGTGGTGGTGGTGGGGCGGTGGTCAGGAGTAGTAGCTGCAGGCCGGGGGGGCACAGGGCTATAGGACCGCGATGGGCGGCGGTGCGGGATTTGGTGGTCCCACCATCTTCCTTCCCCTCAGGCCCAGCGCTTGTCTCAGAGGAGCTGTACTTGCCATGGGCAGAGGCGGCCCCCAGCTGCCCACCACAGCCCCCGGCCCAGCACCAGGCCCTGATGACAGGTGAGAGGGGCCGGGAACAGTGGAGAAGGGAAGGGCTAGGACACCAGGTGTCAGCTCGGGCCCTTCTTCCTCAGATGCCGCCTGGACCCCCGCCTTGGAGCCCTCGCAGGAGGCGGGGCCCGCGCCCTCTCCCCTCACCGGCGCCCCACTGGCAGGTGAGCAGCCGGGGGCGGGGCAAAGGCGGGCCCGGGCCCTCGCCCCTCCCAGCTGCTCACCGGTTGTGTCCGCGCAGAAGGCGGCCTGGCGGTCTTGGAGGTGACCATCCTGTACAAGGGCCGCCCGGTGCTGCAGGAGGTGGTGGGCCGCGCGAGCTGCGTGCTCCTGTACCGGACCCCCGGCCCCGCCGCCGAGGCCGTGGACGCGCAGCTCGTGGCCTTCCCCAGCCCCGCCGAGCTCCCCGACCAGAAGCAGCTGCGATACACGGAAGAGCTGCTGCGACACGTGGACCCGGGGCTGCAGCTGGAGCTGCGTGGAGGCAGCCTGTGGGCGCGGCGCCTGGGCAAGTGCAAAGTGTACTGGGAGGTGGGCGGCCCCCTGGGCTCCGCCAGCCCCTCCAGCCACGCCTGCCTGCTGCATCGCAACTTCGACACCCCCATCTTTGACTTCGGAGTCTTCTTCAGGGGTCAGTGGTGCACCCTGCCTGAGGGCTGTTCCCGAGCCTGCCGGCTGGCTCGCTCACTGGAGCCCTTCTCCGCAGAGCTGGTGGAGTTCCGGGAACGGCGGCGCCAGGGCTCCCCACACTACACCATCTACCTGGGCTTTGGGCAGGACCTGTCTGCGGGGCGGCCGAAGGAGAAGAGCTTGGTGCTGGTGAAGGTGAGACTGCCCCCGCAGGGCTGTCCCCGCGCCCACCACGCCGCCAGGCCCGGCTGACGCCCCCCCCGCCCCCCCACAGCTGGAGCCCTGGCTCTGCAGGATGTACCACGAGGGCGCACAGCGCGAGGGCACGTCCTCCCTCAACAGCAGCAGCCTCGGCCTCTGCGTATCCAGCTCTAACAGCCTGTATGACGACATCAACCACTTCCTCATGGAACTGGGGCAGCCGCCCTAGGCTGGACCCCCCGGGCCCCCCCGGTGAATAAAAACAGCTCCAAGAGTCGGTGGTGGTGGTGTTCTGCTGAAGGGCTGGGTCTGAGGAGGGAACGGGGCTGTCAGACCAGGATTACTGAAGGGTGGCTGGAGGGGGGGCCCGGGATGGCCAGGACTGAGCTTTGGGGGCCTGCAGGAAGGGAGGTGGGCAGGACCCCCGTCTTCACAGTGAAGAAGTTCAGGCCACACATACTTTTAGAGCCCAAAAAAAACTCAGAAAACTGTTTTCAAGGCAGGAAACAGCTGGGAGGAAGGCACTGCCTGGCAGAGGCGCCGAGAAGGAGGCTCCCTGGGGATGGGGGAGCAAATCCGCCGGCCGGCCCCAGGCCCTGCCAATGCTGCTCTGCCCACTGAAAGCTGGAGCAATTCTTACAGGAGAGCAACCTAACTGTGAAGGAGAAAATCCCTAAACAAGCAGCACACATACACAGCGCTGCTGGTCAGCTGCTGCGAGAGAGGCCGGCCGCGAGATTCATCAGGGAACCCCCAGATCACCAAACATGCCACCCTTGCAAATACTGAGTCAGTCCAGAAGTTTCTAAAGATAATCATGTTTGATAAATTAGAACGCAATGGCAACTGTGTACCTCTATAATATACATATAAAAAGTCCAGTTAACTGTGAACCAGTCAGGTGCTCAGACCGCAGGTGATCACAAGGAAGCCTGACAACAGCGCCTGCCCCGCACGGCAGACACGCGGGCCCAGCACCGCCCACGCAGGAGCACCCCCGCAAGGCCGCCTCAGCCCTCGGCCTCCTGGGGGGGGGGCCCCTCCTCGGGGTCCGCCTTCTTGTACCGCCGCATGTGTCTGTACTTCTCCACGTAAGCTCTCACCAGGTTTGCCACCTTCGTGGGGTTGATTTCTCCGCTTTTGCTGTGGCAGATCTGGGGGAAGAGGGACAATGACACAGCCTGGCTGCTTCGCCCGAGTCCCCTCCCCACAGCCTGGACCCAGGAGTCCTCCTCAGGGCCCTGGTATCCAGGGATGCGCTCCGCCCACTCACGGGGCTGTGGAGGCGCCGTGACCAAGGGTGTGACGTTGGAAGACCTGCCCCACGGACGAGCCTGCTGGTCTCGCGGGGCCTTGTTCTCCTGTCTGTGCAGTGGGGTGGCTAGAGCATCTAACGGCCTCCCTGCTTGTGAGTCTGCATGGCAGAGACACTCCCCGATCGCCTACAACGCCGTCCCCTCCACCCACCTCCCCATTCTCTCAGACCAAGGTGACTCAACCAGTAAGAGGCAGAGCCGACCCTGGGGCCGGCCGCCTACCCCGAGGGGCTGCTCTGACCCCCTCCACCAGCTGCCTCGACTTGCAGAAACAGCAGCCTAGACATCCAGCATCTAAGCTAACGTCTGAAAAGCACTCCGGACAGACAGGTCTGGACACCTCACACAGGTGACAACTGACACCTGACAGAGGTTCTCAGATCACAGACATCTGCAGGCCGCTGGGCCCCTGACCTCCTGCGGGCCCCACCCCCTGACCTTCTGCACAGCTTTGCGCAGGATGTCTTTGTACTCCTCCTTGGTGATCTCCCTCTTCTGGTAGAAGGGCTTGATGGCCAGCTTCACCTCCTCCACCGCCCGCTCCTGCACGTGCAGCTTCTTCATGTACTACGAGCAAGGATGTGCGTGACACCTTTTCTGATCCAGAAGGACCAAGCGCATGTCTGCGCCCATCCTTACCCATCCCGGCCCCTTCACAATGGACACGAGGACAGGAGAGGAGGCTGGGCCAGGGACAGGACTCACCTCCTCGTTCTTGGCCTTCTCCCCGGCGGGCTTGGAAGCTGTGGTTTTCCCCTCCACGTCATTGGTCACGGGGGCTGGGACGGCTGGCTCTGAGACTGTGGTCAGGGCGGTGGGCACTGGGGCCAGACCCTGGGCACCTCCACAGCCCACCAGGGGAAGGCTGCCCTGCAGGAGAAACTGGACCGCAGGCTGGCTGACCGGTGCATAGGGTGGGCCGCTCGAGGGCAGGGCCAGGGCCACAGGCAGGGCAGGGCTGTAAACCTGGGAAAAGGACACCCAGCTCAGCTGGGTAAAAAGCCCAGCCCCCCCATTCATCCTGCCCAGGTGCTGGGAGCCTTCTCTCCGGAAACACCAGAGAGCCTGGCAGAAAAGAACTGGAAAGGGGCGAGATGGGAGACTGAGGCCCTCTGCCCCGGGTGTGCCACCCGGCACTGGCCCAAGGCTGGCTCACACCACGAGGTCACGCACGTGCTCCAGCCCACACACCCACCTGAGAGGCATCTACGTTGGGGAATGCAGGCTCAGGAAGTGCCTGGCTGGGAGGCAGCGGCTCAGAGAACGGTGGCACCTGGCAGAAGGCAGCTGGGCCCGAGTCCTCCCCGTCCCAGGCTGTGTCCCTGGGCTTCTGCGGCCTGTGCAACAACGCTCCTGAAGCAGACGGGCGGGGATGGGTACTCCATGGCCACTCCTGACCGGAATGTCCCACAGGTCCAGCGCCCACCTCTGCCCCTCCGCCACCCCGGGAGGGACTGGCTTCTCAGCCCCTGGAAGCCAACCCCATGCAGAGTGACTGCAGGGGGCCCCCTGGGCCAAGAGACCCAGACTTACGCGGCACTGGGTCCTCAGCCGGGGCGCTGTCCCCCTCCTCCTGAAGGTTCCAGGTGACCCTCTTCACCGGAACCTTTGACCGCAGCAGAGGTGTCTGAGGGGTGGCTTCCTCAGGCCTGGCCCCCCCACCTGCCTGAGGCCCCACCTCGTTACCCCCTGGCAGCATCCCCACAGCCTGACTCCCCCCTGTGGAGTCCTGCTCGCAGGGGACCCTCTCAGGGGGGCCCTCTGTGAGCTGTGGGGGCTGTGGGTCGTCACTGTGGATCAAGGACACCTCCCTCTGGATGGCGGCCAGGGCTCGGCCAGTGTCCAGGCCCACATCGCAGGCGCGGCCTGGCACAGGTGGGGCAAGGCCGAGTGGGGCACGCTCTGGAGAGGAGTCTGTGCTCTCAGGGGAGGGCGGGGAGCTCATGTCGTCCAGCTGGATGAAGACGGCCTCGCTGGAGAAGTCCTCAAAGACGTGGCCTGCCTCCACAGAGTCCCCGTAGTCCAAGTCATCGGGCGCACTCTCAGCTGGCACCTCAGGCACGGGGGACGTCTCCGTGGGGGCCTCGTCTACCCCAGCCGCAAGAACCTCTGGCGAGGCTACCTGTGCCAGGGTGGGTGGCCCAGCCATGGCACCTCCGTCTGGCCCAGGTTCATCATGCACAGGGGGTGGGGATGCCTCCTTTGCAGGTGGCTTCCGGTATGGGGAGCAGGAGCGGGTACGGGGCTGCCTCTCGCGGGAGCGGGGCCGCCGCTGCTCCCGGGCCCGGTGCTCCGTGCTGGGGGACCGGGACCTCCACGCCCTCCTCTCTCTGGAGTGCCGCCGCCCTCGTGGCCGAGACACACCCTCCTTCCTGTCCCGCTCCCGGCTCCGCTCACGCCGCCGCTTGTGCCTTCGCGAGCGCTCCAGGCTGCTGGGCGGGGAGCCCTCGCGCCCTCGGGACCGGGACGCCGAGCGCTGCGCCTTCTTCTTCCGGCCCTCGTGGTACTCGTGAGAGGAGCTGCCAGGGCTCAGGGAGCGCGAGCGGGACCTGCGTGCGCGGCCCCAGGAGCCCCGCTTCCTCTCACGGCCCTTGTCCTTGGCCTTCTTTCTCTTGGCCCTGTCCCGGCTGCTGGAACCCTCACTGGAGGACCACCGGGCCCTGGCCTTGGGCCGGTGCTTCCTGGCGTGGGGCTCGCTGGCTGACGGAGAGGCTGACCGCGAGCTCCTCTCCCTGGAGCGAGACCCCGAGCGGCTGCGGGACCGCGTCCTCCTGGACTCCTTGCCGGAGGTCTTTGCCTTCTTGGCTCCCTTCTGACCGCAGGAGCTGGTGTCGGAGCGGGTGGGGGACGGCGAGCGCAGCTCCACGATGCGATGGGTGGTGGGCGGCGGCGTGTCGGGGCTGGGTGGGGCATCGGGCTCCACGACCGGCACACAGGTGACCGTTCGCTCCTTGGCGCTGAAGAAGGCGCTGTGCCGGGGAGCATCCTCATCCTCCCCCTCCCCAGGCGCCCCCAGCCCCTCCGGCTCCAGGTCCGAGGCCGCCCCGCCAGCTGCCCCGTCCCGGAGCCTGAGCACGCTGGAGGCGGGCCTCCGGGAGGGCGCGTCCCCCTCCCCGAGAGCTTCCTCTACGGTGTAGGTGGTGACGCAGCGCACCGTCTGGCAGGCTGGGGCCTTGGGGCCGTGGATGGAGATGGTCCGCGTGATCTCAGAAGGCAGGAGGCCGGAGCCCAGCCTCTCGGGGCTGCTGCCGGGGGAGCCGGAGTCTGAGCCCGTGGGGTCGAATGGGTCGTAGATCTCGCTCTTGAGCTGCTTGGTCTTTTTGAGGGAGAAGAGGGGCGAGGGGTTCTCCTTCCTCTGCACCTTGTTGTCGACAGGCCGGAACGTGTTACAGAACCCAGGACTGGGGAGCCGGCTGGAGTGGGCTGTGTTCCCGGGAATATTAATCCTAAAGCTCTCAAAGGTCGACCCCATGCCCTTCCCCCTCGCGGCTCCGATAGGAGCCAGGCTGCTGTGGGAACTGGGAGCTGTGGGCTGGGGCCCCCCCGGGGGCGCACCGGGCTCCTGTGGGCCCCGGCCGCTGGGCTGGCCCTCTGCCCGCGCCCCACGGCCCGGCTGTGTGGGGCCCTCCCTGCCTGTCAGCCGGCTGATGCAGGAACTGGGGATCTCAACGCTTGGCCCAGGGGCCGGGGACGAGTCCACGTGTCCACCGCCACCGTCTCTCTTGATCTTTGGTATTCTGGGTAGCTCAGAGATATCCCTTCTCCTGGGAGCTGGCTTCAGGGGGTGCCCCAGCACTGGGCGTCTGGATGGTGAGCGAGAGTTACTGTTGGAGATCTTGGGGGATGTGGAACCCGCAAGCGAAGCACGCTTGCTGTCTCCGTTAAACCGGGGCAGGGCGCCTCTGTGTGAAGCAAGTGTGCTGCTGGCCAACTTCTGAGTCTGGACGGCCCTAGCCCGTGGGGCTGCGGAGGGGCCCAATCTCACTGCTGGCCTTGCCGTGTGTGCGGGGACCCAGGAGGCCGGGGCGGGGGCAGGGGCTGGGGTAGGCCTGTTGTGGGAGGTCAAGGCCGAGCTCTTGGGCCCGCTCCCGGTGAGGCCACCTGCCGGGCTACCTGAGAGTGGCACTGTGGGCGGCTCGCAGCCAGACCTGCAGTCCCTGGCGCCACTGGACGCCTTGAGGGAGTTCTGCTGAAAAGCAGCTGGAGCTGAAACAAGAAGGCGTACGGCAGGCACTTACAAGCAGGCCCTCGCTGCTGCGAGGCCCCGGGTCCAATGGCCCGGGGGCGCTGTAGATGCTTCCATCCTCTGCTCTGATGGTCATGCCACCCACGCGTGGACCAGAAAGTGCTCAAGGAAAGGGGGTGCTGCAAGTAGGTCCTGCCAACCCTCCACAGCTGGAGACGCCCCTTCACCCCCCTCCCACCCCCCACCCACCTGCCAAGACCCACAGAATCCACTGCCACGGAAGCAAAGGGGGAGACTGAGGAAACATGTTTCAGTTTCCAGAGCCAAGATGGAGGAGCGGCCCCTCCCGAGGTACAGCTGCCCAGTAAAAGTGCGAGACGGCCCAGGGTCCTGCGTGGGAGAGGGGCCGGGCCCGCCCCTCGCAGGCTTGGGGGCCCTTACCTGCCCTCTTGGCGCTGAGGGAGCCGTCACGGTGGATGATGATGTCGGCGTCACTCAGCATCAGGAGGCTCTGGCTGCACAAGATGCTGCCCACCAGGTCGGGGACGGGGGCTGCCTCCACTTCAGGGTCCGGCGTGGCGGCAGCAGGAACGCCCCTCCTGCACAGAGACAAGGGTGGGCTGCCATCACCGCCTGCACGTGCTGCAGACCCACGCTGTGCTCAGGAGAGCAGGGGGGCCGGCCGGGGCCAGGTCCCCTCCCAGGGCACGTGTGGGCCGAGGAGGGAGAGCAGGGGGGCCGGCCGGGGCCAGGTCCCCTCCCAGGGCACGTGTGGGCCGAGGAGGGAGAGCAGGGGGGCCGGCCGGGGCCAGGTCCCCTCCCAGGGCACGTGTGGGCCGAGGAGGGAGAGCAGGGGGGCCGGCCGGGGCCAGGTCCCCTCCCAGGGCACGTGTGGGCCGAGGAGGGAGAGCAGGGGGGCCGGCCGGGGCCAGGTCCCCTCCCAGGGCACGTGTGGGCCGAGGAGGGAGAGCAGGGGGGCCGGCCGGGGCCAGGTCCCCTCCCAGGGCACGTGTGGGCCGAGAAGGGAGAGCACGAGACCTGCCCTGCAGCTCTAGCACCAGGAGACAGGGGTGGGGGCATGACCTCTGCACCCTGCGGCCCAGGCCACCAGCAGATGGGGCAGACACCTTGAGCACCTCCACCCGCTCTGCTGGCTCAGTCTGTGTGCTTCCTTGTGAGAAATCAGACAAGGAAAGACCCGGCCAAGAGGAGGCCCCAGCACGCCCAGCATGTGCTCAGGCTGCGGCTGACGGCAGACGCCTCCTCCCTCACAAGAGCACCCCAGGCACCATGGCTCTCGACCATGCTTGGCCCCAGATGGGCTGCAGCCTATAGCTGCCTCTGCCGAGCTGCCAGACTCAGGACTGGCTGTGCCCACTTTCTCATTCCCAGGGTTGGGTGTGTGTGAACCAGGAAGACTGAACATCTGTCAAAACCAAGGGTGGATGCTGGCGCACAGGGACAAGCGTCTAGTGCATCCCCGGGAGCCCCACCTCAGGACCTGCCCGCTTTCACGCACCTAGAGATCGCCATGGAGATGGGCCTGGCCACGGGCTGGTGTGACCGCAGCGCTGACTGGGACAAAACCCTCCTCTTGACACTCAGAGGGGACGTGGAGTTTGTGGAGAGCTCTTCACTGCTGAGGGGGACACAGGCCAAAGGGAACAGGTGACATCATGCACCACACCCCCAGGCCCAGCACTGAGCACGGATGGGCAAGAGCCAACCACAGGGTGGCGGTCATGCCCCAGCATCCAGAACGTGGCAGAGCGCTCTACCTGCATGCCACCCTGTGAGACCGGCTGGGGTGCTGGCTCCCAACAACCCCCAGATCACCTGCGACTGTGGCCTTGGCCTGGTTCTGCGTGAGGACACGGCACCAGGGCTTGTCCTGCACGCGGCCTAACTGAACCTGAGGCTACAGAGCTCACGGCACACTGTGGCCAGGCCCGAGGAGCCGGGCAGGAAGCTGCGCCTGCGCGGCAGTCACCTGTCAAAGGGGTCCAGCTCGTGAGGGTCTCCGAACAGGGACAGAGTCGCAGCTCCAATGTCTGCCCGCATCAGCCCCAGCGAGGGGTCGGCAGGCTTGTACACAGATGGGAAGGAGGCGCCGCGGACAGGCTTCCGGAGGCCCAGTGTCCTGGCGATGCGGACACGTGCTGTGACCTCATCTCTGACCTAAGCGACAGGGAGAGCAAGATGATGAGAACAGTCAGAAGGTTCTGGAATGCCAGTTGGAGGGCTAATTACCGCACCAAATATCAGGCCAAGGGTCTGTACATTCCAGTCGTGAAGTCTGAGAGGCTTCACTTGACCTCACACACCTACAACCCACCCAGTGGACAGACCACCAGGCTGAGCTGAGACCATCTTCTAGCAGACTCGGAACGTGGGAAACGAGATCCGGCTTGGGACCGACTGGCCAGTTTGTGTTTCTACAACTACCCGAGGAGCCAACACGGAAGCCACACATCCTAGCTGTCGTCACCCCTAAATCACTAACAATCGTCCAAGCTTCACGGGCTGCTTCCATTCTGATTCCAGGTGTTAGGAGAGCATCCCCCACAACCCCGCCCAGCCGCCCTCTCCTTGGCTGGAGAGTCCTCGCTTGGAGAAGCACTCCACGCGAAGCCTGCAGGCCTCCCCATGCCACCCAGGCAGCAGTAAGGGAGCGGCCGCAGGGAACAGCCAGACGGAAGACGTGCCTCGGGACCACGCCCAGAAACTTCTGGCAGAGCACAGAAGGCGCAGGCGGAGCTCCCGGAGGTGCCTCCAAGGGAAGCGCACCCTGGAGCCACAGGACTGGGAGGCAGCAGAGAGAAACAATGGAGGGATAGACTCCCACACCTGGGCAGAGCCTCAGCTTCTACTCACTTCGGGAACTCTGTCTGAAAACCCAGGAAATTGGCCATAATCTCTCATGCAGCAAACACTCAAACGAAAGCTGTGATCCAGTTTTTTATACTTTGTATTAAAGTGCTCTGATGTCCCACTAGTACTCCAAGTGTGGATAACGCACTTCAAAAAGAGCCCGATAACAACACGGCCACGTGCACACGCGGAGGACGGGCACATGGACAGGCCGTGGCCACGAACCGGAGGAGCGGAGGGGCCTGAACGAGGCTGGGCTGACAGTGAAATCCCGGTCTGATTGCTGCGGCCAGGAACAGGCAACTGAGCTCCAAAGACCCAGTTTTACCCGCAGTGGACATTCTGCCTCGGAAAGCCTCTGCTGTGAGCACCTCTCTTGAGAGCAACCCCACACCTGGCTTCCACCTGGCTCTGGACCCAGGTACCCATTAACATGCCCCCAACAGCCTGTGGAGCAGATCTTGTATCTGCCCTCCCCTCCTGCCCAAAGGGGTCCCCGGCAGCCTTCAAGGAGGATCACGCCCAGCCCCAGCCTCGCCCTCCCCCGCCCGCATGCCCAGCTCCAAAGGGCCCTGAGAGCCTCTTGCCTCAGCCCATCTTCATTCTGTGCTGTTGAATGTTCATTTTATCAGCAGACAACTAAGTAAACACAGAAAACGGGCCTTAACTATGACACTCAGCACCTGGCAACACAGAGGACTTAGAACTGGGGAGGCTGCGGCGCCACTGCCACACGTTACCTTCGGCTTCTTCCCTTTCCTCTTCTTCCCGCGACTCTGGCGTCTCTTAGATCTTGTCCCTAAACTCTTACTTCTCACAGAAGATTTGGGAGAGGCCTTCTTTCTTCCCAACACTTTCTTCCGTCTTCCTAAAGAGGGCATGGAGAAGCTGTGCTTCACTGTCTGCACGAGGGCCAGGAGGGGGATGGAGCTCAAGGCTGGTGCCCAGGGGGCTCACACGTGTGCATATGCTGGTGCCTGGGGGGAGTCACGTGTGCATACACTGGTGGGGGGCTCACACGTGCATACAATTGTGCCTGGGGGTGGGGGGTGTCACATGTGCAAACACTGGTGCCTGGGGGGCTCACACATGTGCATATGATGGTGCCCAGGGGAATGAGGGATCACTTGTGCATGCAGTGGCGCCTGGAGGGCTCACGGCTGCATGTACAGGGGTGGGAACAGGGAGGGGGATGTAGGCTCAGGCTTGCACATGGTGGTGGGGGACACAGACTCATGCATGCACGTAATAGTGTCGGGCAGAGGGGAAAGGGAATCATGGGTGCATACAGTGATTCCCACAGGACTCACGTGTGTACGCACAGGTGCAAGGGGGACAGGACTCGCGTGCACGTACAGGCACACGGGGGACAGGACTCGCGTGCACGCACAGGCGCGGGGGGACGGGACTCACGCGTGCACGCACAGGCGCGGGGGGACGGGACTCACGCGTGCACGCACAGGCGC